CCTGATTGGCTGAAAATGAGTATGCGCACTTGATTTACCCAGAACTCTGTGCGAATCCCCCTTGATTCTGGCTGCTGGCCATTTTCGTTCATGAAATCGTCGGATATCATCAGAAAACGCGGAATTTGTGCAGTTTTGAATAAAACCAAGTTAGTGATTATGAACAATGGTCATTAACGTAACACCTGATCCCCTCTAAAAATTTTGTTTCGCATTTTAAGGTAAGAAATCGACATTTGAAACCGACAGGGTGTCGATTTACTAGGTGCCGTGTTTCACAACTTGTTTATTTATATACGTATAGCGGATGATTTTTTTTGAAAATTAGTATTTATTGATTTTCAGCCCCCAAGTGACTGTGATTTAGGTATATCACGTGATAGTAAGATCGCCTCAGACAATTTTTGCAGTTATTTGTATTTCATTTCATATAAAATAGCCCCTGCCGGTGGCAAATGAGACTCACAGAAAAGAAAAAACATCAGTGACGGACTGTTTAATGCGACTCTGATTTGTTTTTACTTTGCATTGAGTTTGTCAGAGTTCCTAGACTGATCGTGAGTTCCTACAACGCCCTCTTGCGGTGGTTATAACATATTTCCCGGGGGAAGAGGAAATACTTTAGCACGTTTAGGCATTAACACTCGATCTATACACCGAACAAAAAAAAATCATTTTCAAAAAATATTTAATCGCTAAAAATGGCTAGTTTACAAACATTAGAAAATGTGTGTGATTGGAACTGGCACTTGTCATAAGGATCTAGATATGTTTATTATTCAATAATCATAAACCGTAGGTGACTCATTATTATGCACACCACCGTTGAGCGGGACACGAGGTTCTCTTAAGACAACCTTTCACATAGAATAAATAAATAAAAACGTATGTTTAATGAAGTGACTTTGCATATATATCGAATGGATCATGATAGAGAAGAAGTATGGCATTACTTTGTTCCGGAAGGATCTTGTTTTCATTTGTATTGCACTATTCTAGCATAATCATAGAACTCGGTGGTTGTCCGGATACACTTATCCATTTAGTTTTGCTTTTTTTAAACGAAACAAATAATCACGCGAGAACTATTCGTCAAAGATAGTCTAGTTTTAGATCTCGCGAGATCATGGCAGCTGTGTTGTTTATATTCGGAGGGAATAATAGAGTTCCTCTGTTCAATAATAGGGAAGGGGAATAAACATGCATATGGTATATACGTGTTTTTATCGTACCCATCATATTTTGTTAGCGAACATCATGCGATACTGGGAACTAGAAGACATCGAGCGGTTATAACTAAGTGATCACGGCGCCCCTTCAATTAAATTAATATTTTAGACGAAAAAAAATGTAAATAGGTTAAATGCAACTGTTTTGTAACCACCAGTGTACACCAATAACGTTTATTAAGTCAATGTGCAGGTATGGATCTCTCTATAGACGACTCCCGGGCGGCTGGACTCCATGGCACTGCGTGGAATGGTGAAGAAATCCCGGATAGCTGGTTTCATTCCATGGCATGGCATTGGATGATTTCTGCTTCAGAGGAAGGGGTCCCGCACAGTTGGTCTTAGTCCGTGGCACATAAAATACCGACACAGGAATTTCTTGGTTAACTCGACTTTTGATGTCTTACGGTGGTTTAGAGTTGCCTTAAAATTCTGGACAGATCTGACAAAAAAAAGTGGTATATAATTAAACAGTGCAACACAATATTGAATTTATTATTAGCCATTTCAGCATCAATATAAAGAAATTATAATGTGAATACAAGGCAAACATAGTAGTGTAATATAAAACATCACACATGACGTCACGCTACAAGTGCGTCGATGGATACGCATGCGCAGAGTAAAATATTTACCTAATCTGGCGTACGATGTCGTGGAATATTTTCTTAACGTGTTCTATCCCCATGCGAGCCGAACATTCGTAGAAGGAACATCCGATTTGAAAAGCCAGGTCACGTCCTTCGTCAACACCGACTCGTCGTTGATCTTTCAAATCTTTTTTGTTTCCTACAATGATAGTGAATGACATTATAGGAGAAACTTGGTTACCGAGAACAAAAAATACCAAAGCTTACGTGGACAGAGTCACCCAATATTGAAGTAACAAGACAAAATAACCCTTTGCGTCGCCACAGGTGGCGCTTTATTTTTTTATAACCGACTTCGCGGTGTTCCCACCCGCAGTGTCATGATGGATATCACCGGAAACAGAAATGAAAAACACAACATGCGACTTGAAATACAACATGCACCGTTTCTTTAATTAATTATGACAGATACATACCCACCAGTACGACAGGCACGTCTTTTGTCTTTCTGACTTGGTGAAGAAGACTTTGAAATCTTTTGGCGGACTCAAAGCTGTCCTCTGTCTGTTATCGAGTAAACTATTATAAACCCTTCCCCCACTTGCAGCGTTGTAGCCATGTCCTCTAAACAGAAATTATTCTCATCCTGAAAGAAAGAACACAAAACACGATTAAACCTTAAAATTCAATGGAACGTGACTAATGGCGTAACAGGTGTTGCACAAATGTTACGTAAATTGGCTATAATAAAAGCAAAGACGAATAGCGAATTCTCGAGGGTAGGGATATTTTTTTTATTTTGGGTTAGTTTAACAAATTGTCGCTAATTACTCGTCCCATTATTTTCGATGATTAAATTGATGTTGACGAAGAACCGAATTATTACCAGTGCAATTCAGTCAGAATTATATATTTAAACTATGGTGAATAGAACAGGGTTAACATTCACAGAGTGTATCGAAGTACTATTGTACACACAGATTGTGTTTAAGCACCGTGGGAACGTGTAAGGCATCTTAAGTTGGTCGGACCATTATGTTGACAACTTGATAACCGCGCTCGATAAGACAGAAGCAACAACATTCCATATTCAATATACTCTCACAAGTCGGATCTTAATCGGCTAAATTATTTCCACTTCGGATCAAGGTTTAAAAAACGAATGTAAACAATTGACACGAAAGATCACGTTACTAATTGACCAGTAACTGAGTTGTAACTTGGCGTCCAAGGTCAAATACCGTGACACGTACATGAGTACGGGCGACCAGCGTGCATTACCGTGATACTGAGAATATCTACAATAAATTACCATATTTATATATAACGCCCTAATTATATTCTCTTTTGTGGACGTGATTATTTCTACGACTTCTTTTTGTATAGATAATAAACAGAATCTTGCATAGATGCTGGTGTACAAACTGACGCAATTTCTATCGAAAACAATCAGGATTATTAAATGTCAGAAAACCTTTATCCTATCGTAAAAAAATGTATGTAGATATTCTTCGTAAATGTCGATGTTTGCGCAAAGAATATCTAACCGACTTGGGCGAGAGTTATATAACCTCATACAACTGAAGCTATAGTTGTCAGTGAGTTTTTGTTGTCAATTTTTAACTCGAAAAGCGGTATATATAACGAGACATGTCTATTACAACATAGCCATAATATAAACATTAATAGATTTGATTCTGTCAGCGTATCCCACACCAGATAAACAATAAAGTTCTTGTTAAATATCTTAGTGACTGTTGTTGCATAACTCAACGAAAAACAAATTCCATGAATGTCCAAGCCTTTCCCTGTTCCTTGCGTTTGGCCCCCGGGCTAACTAGTCACTAACACGATGCGCAATTCAAGACACATTCAAGATTAACAATATTAAACCCACAACCATGTCTACTTGAGACGGAAAAAAAGGGGTAAGTGTTTAGTTCCAGGCTTATGTTGGATTTATACGACTCTGATAAAAGTAAAAAAAGAAAACACAATCGAATAACCTCACGTACTTTACTCCGCCTACCGTACACAATAAGGAGCGTGATGGCATGCCCGTTGTCGGCGTTGCACAACCGGCTAATCCGACCCGTGACAATACCGTTAGTTTGTAACGCTATATTTGGCAAATTGTCGCAGTCTTTGTCGAACTGGTACAACAAGTGGAATTGACACGAAGTCAACAACTGCACCAGACAATGTGTTTAATTAAATATCGGATTGGCTTTTGTAAGTCGTTTGATATAATATAACTGAATGTTTTGTAAAGTGGTAGCAAACCTCAGAACGTGCGTGAGTGTTATTGCTTCAATAGAACGATTGAAGTTATGCGCATAGCATATCACGGCATACATTATTAACGCTCTTGCGCTTGACGTAATACGACTACGCGACGTTAATCTAACGTAGGAACGAACTAAATACCACATACCGTGACAAGATACCATAACCGCGTTGTATAGTTATTAGTCACTAATTTGACCTACGGTTTCTAAATGTAGGCTTTTCCAAGCCGTCTCACACAAATAAATCCAAGCTAGCATAAGCGTATGGTATCAAAGAAATTCACAAAAATTAAAACTTTTTGTGTTTTTAAATTTGATTTCTTTCAGTTAGGAAAAATAGAAGACGAAGTAGCCTGATTTGTTTTCATGGAAATATGGCTTTCAGATATCCTCAATAGCGTTATGACAAATGAACTTTTGATGTGCTGCATACAGTAGGTGCGCTTTGCAGTACAATGGTGCACTAGTTTTGTAAATCAAGGCTGCTCCCCTGGATATTGGCGCCGATAGTTTACTTGTTAACTTTAAATTCCAGAAATGTCTAGATCCACAACGCTCTCCCCATCCTTACTGGTCGAATTACTCTGTCTACATATGAACGCACATATATTTTGCGTTCCAATCAATGCACTTACCCCCGTTCTCGTGTCTAGTATTTTGAGTTGAGCAATTTCATTATCCACCAGTTCTCGCGTTTCGTAGATAAATTCTAGAAGAACGAAAAAAAAAACATGATATTGAGCATTTCGTACTTAGTATACATGTATACGCAAAATATTGTATTAATATTTACATGATTTGAAAGCAACAGCGCTACTTTTTCTGCAATTATAAGCATCGAATTTCTCTTTTCCCGTGATCAAGTTTATCTAAACAAATGTAAATGCGTATTTTTTATTAACCACACCATAAAAGTGAATTAAAGCAGACAATCAAGAACAGTGACCGTCCGTTTATTTTTTATTATATCTTGTTTGTGATAGATAAATTATCCACACGTGTAGAATAGAAAGCTATCAATGTCGGTCAGTAAACTGTACTAAATTAAAGTTTAACATTTATTGTAAAATTTTGTCTAATTGTTATGCATGAAGAGAGTTCAAGATCACCCCACAGCAGCTCTCGGTGTAAATATGTCACCGCAACGTTAACTATTTTTTCATTAAATGTTGTACGAGTTTTTGGATCACAGGAGGGCTTCTTGGTTATATTTAGAGATATGCTATGTTGGAAATACAGCGTGACAGAAATCATACAATGTGGGACATAGTTGCTTACACACCGTGAAAGGGTGAAACAAATTCCAGGAAATATCGGTCAAGTTAAATATTACTCTACAATAATTAGCCTCGATATAATGCGGCATTGTAAGGGGGTCATTGTTGAAGGAAAGCGGTGGCAGAAATGCAAACCAATCAACATTGGGCGAACACACAACGTTCGCCACGAAAGCATCGGGCCAATTTGCATATTGCATATTTAAACACACATGAAAAAAAATACCTATCACAAAATGACTGAATTTTAAAATATTCCCCACCAGAAAAAATGACCCATCCCTAACATGGTGTTTATTTCATTTATGCTAGTAAAATTATCTACTAACTATTATTACTGCATAATTTCATGTTGCCTCAAGCTCATTCCTAAACTCTAATAATAAAACATAAAGGGACATACCATTTATAAATAATTATGTCATCATCATGACATACGAAACGGGCGTCCGAATTTCGCATTTTACACGCGTTGTGTACGACGCATGGGACCCACAGCCAACAAGACGCGCCGCGACGGTTGTGTTGCCTGAAATATACTGACACTAACTATCAAAATATCGCGATTACTGTGTAAATGTTTTGACGCGAGATTATTGCCCGGAGCTGAACAACTCGTATACAGCACCGAGGTTGTGAGTGACGGGAACTTCTAGTGGGAGTTCTCAGGAAACAATACCGTTAAGACAGTAATGACATTGTTAGTATTTAAAATACACACCGAGTTTAGCAGTAAAAAAGGCAATTATAACGAGATGAAATATTTCACGGACACGAGTGTTTTAACTTATTCCTTGTCAGATTAAATTTTTGTTAGAAAAATGCGGTATGCATACATATCAAGGCAGCGATACTCTCACCTCTAGGCACGAACATCGTTACAAATCAATGACACCTGACTACACACACAATTACCAAGATATGAAATGATGCGTAATGATGTGGAATGCGATATGTAATACACTGTGTAACATGTGTATTACCATTGAACATATTACAATGTGTTACGTGACATACAAGGAATCGCCCACTATGATGCCGTAGGGTGTGTGCGTCAGTGGGAGGGTGGAGTATAATAATATTTTCTTGCAAGTTTACAAAAGAAAAGTAGTTATTTGTCAAAAAAAAGACGTAAACTTGAATAAATGAATGAATGAATGGGCACATTTTTACACGCCTTAGTTACAGTAACGGAATATTAAGTAGGGGTAAGACTTAATGATAAAAGATATGTTTCGTTTTAGCAGTTACCGATAGACCACCAGACACGATCGTCGATTACTAAGTGCAGAGTAGAACCCTTACCGTGAGGATCGAAGTCTAGATTATGATATACACCGTGGGTGAAAGCAGTCGTCAGTGCTGCAAATAAGAAGATGAACATTTGATATATTATCTGCATACACGAACAATCACATAATTATCTTGTATGTATTAATATTTTCATATCATATCGTATATTTACCCTTCATTAAGTCATTTCAGAAAAAGTCAAAGGTGATACCACCCTTGATACAAAACATTAACAGCGGAAACTTATGTGTTTGTTTTTATTTAGCAACTCTAGCCTGAAATCATAGTTTGACCGTTGATTCCGATAATTATTGGCGTCTGGGTATCGACCCATGGGTCCATGAAATAGCTGTTTTTCTCGCCTTTTGTCAACACGTGCTACGGGACGCCGGTTCACATTCCGTGTCAGTTATCCCAACTTGCAAAGTGAATAACATCTGTACTGACTGACATCAATAGACGGGCCACCATTTCCGGAATGCAGCCAAACTCGCATTCCAGAGAATTAGTTTCAACTATATCTTTGTAATTGAATGTGTATTATTTTGTTGTGATCAATAATAAAGAATTACGCATCTTAACACCAAAATAGGCTACAATGGAATGGAATAAAATGTAATGGAATGCATGAATGATTAGGGTGTAGCTCGATCTATTTTGGGGACAATCGCGTGCGGGGGCGGCGACAGCGAACTTCTAAAGATTACTCACGTAAGTACAGTTTAGCAGTTCACATAGTTATACCTGTACAATTATAAGCACTAACATTTTTTTTAAATATATATTTCATAAGTTCTTTATCTACTTTTGATGATCAGTTGATATTTTCCAAACTGCATAGTTGGTTCAAGAAGTTGGACTCGCCATAAAGCCATAATATCTCCATTAATAGATAAATATTAAAATGTATAGTTCAATAAAAATGAATAAATAACAAACAAACAAAAAAGAAAAACAAAAGAAAAGGCGAACAACCCTAATAATGGTGAATCAATAAATTGTACATATACATTTTCGTGCAAGTGACTTATTTCAGTCACTTCGTAATAGGTATGTACTCACATGTTTTTCCTACGTGTTTTGGACCGAGCAGAACTACGTTAAGCTGCAAATCCTCTAACCACGGCAGGCTACCCGTTCGAAGATGTTCCTGCTCAACCTCGCGGTTATAAGGTTTGTATGATGCTCCTCTGCAAAGCATAGTTCAAGTGTTACATACTTCGTGAGAAAACGAAGCGTTGCTGCATAACTACCTTGGTTGGAATATCGCCCACACTTGAATCTCGCGCTGTAGTCAGCTCGGTAGATATAGACACGCACAATCCGCCGACGCTTTTTGTTACCCACTGCCTTTGAAATGAAATTGCTCAATGGCGGCTACTCAAGTTGCTTGTCGCCTAGCAACCGGCATTCCTGCCTACTCAATTACGTCATAATTGGAAAGTTTAACTTGGGGTCAGTTTCGACAGAGGGGCAGTATACTGAGTGAGTCATACATGAAGTTCGGTTTACTCGTTTCGCATTTAATTTTAAAAGAAAAAAATGCTCGCACAATAATAATCATTATTGCATTCACTCATTGCCTACGCTGATTTTAAGGTAAAAATCTGTATGTTTTATTTCCTGTGTTGGATATTGCACTTGTATATAATTATTGATATGATATTTCAATAAAGCATAATAAAGAACATTGTTTTAGTCGCACCCAAAATAATATTCGCTTAAAGAACTATTTATTAGTCTGAATTATGTGTACGTACCAGCAATTTATAGCGCGTGTGCATTGCGTGCTTGATCAGCGTTTTAAATTCATTATAATACTATGTTACAGTGTACACATTAGAGTGCTTACACGGCGGCCTATTAACTGATCTACTTGTTATTTTAGATAGTTGGTCAACATCGCATGACGATTTTTATTGAGGTAGTGTGTACAATCATGGAGTTATATTCCCATGGTAACAGTAGTCTGCTGTGTGTCATTGTATTAAAAACAAAATTTGCCAGATTTTATACAAACATTGCTATTTTTTTAGAACAGTTCCGAACAGTAGAACACAATGTTAAAGTAAAATATTTTTTTTAAATCCCAGAATATTCCAGGATAACAAAAAGTACCCTCATTAGCCACAATACATAATATAATTCGCTCACATTATGTCGCCAGTCAAAAATTGGAGATATGTCACAATACCTTAGGAACCTATATGGTAAAATAAAGTCACCCTCCTTATCTCGACCGGAAGTGCCACAATTTGGCAAACTGGATAAATGCCGGGTATTTTATTTATAAGTCAGTACGTTGTTGTCGAATTCAAACATCAAGCGACATCTGCTACTTAAATTGTTTCATCGCAGTTGACCATACATTATAGTGTGACTGTAGTAACATGCTCGAACTAACTTGTTTGATGAGTTTAGACTTTTAAACTGTAAACAAAAATGCGACTCGAACAATTATCATTATAGACATCATTATTTTAAGTTACATTATCTAATTCACGATATTAAAACAGTGTTATCGAATATTTTCCCACGGCTACCCGAAAATAACCTCAAAATTCTTAAATAGCGTCACCACGAGTAATCTGCTTGATTACACATATACATCAATTTGTTCAATTTCAAATTGAGAGGTGAGAGGTCTAGGACAAATTTCTACATTCTTCAACATAATTTTATCGTCTGGTAAGTAACCATCCTGTGAACTAATACATATGTATGAGAACATATAATTATTAATATTGTTTGATACTATATGTATGTTATTAAGAGCTGAAAACGATGTTTATTCAGCAGATAACTGAGTATTTGTTGGATGGAACAGTGACATCCCTTAATACACTTTTATACTGATTGTTGTTGTTTACGTATCTAATAGCAACCACTTCACATGCGCACAAGTGACACCATAATCCAATTTAGTTACCGAGATATTTTAATACAAAATAAATATTGTCGCTTATTTTGCGCCTTTAAATGTTTTATATCACGCAAATCAGCGAGATTCGACTCACCGACACCTCAGTAATATGCAACATACATTTCTACTGAATAGATGGATTGTGTAAATATGAAAATATGATCACAGGGAAAATGTAACCAAATCGACCATTTTCTGACCAAGTAATACAGCCTAGAAATGCAAAAGAATGTTATCACATCCGCGAAACTAACAACCGCACCCAAACAATATTCACATATATGCAGCTATCATATCTCCAAGGCTGAACCAATTCTGTCCCCGAAAACAGACGACACTGAGACCCACACTGTGACAGAGTTGCCCCAAACGTGGTAGGCAAATATGTCGGAATCGTGTTGCGTAATTTTAGATAATGGGTATTTGTATTCAAAATGTTGTACGGGAAAACGCCCTGTCTTGGATTGTGTTCAATCGACGGGGCACAATCCCCCGCCATGTTAATTGTGACGTCACTCCGACTGAATTCGACTTCGTGCCGCTCTTAATGTCAAATGAAAATAAGTCCGAAAAAGAGATTTGCCACAATTAGGAACCCGGGGTAGGTAGAAAAAAGCTGTGCAAGTATTTGTTTTCACTTAGTATTGAGCGAAATTATTTAGAATGATGTTGCCGCTGTATTTTTGCTGATCTACCCCAAGTTTCGATTGGTCAATACCTAAGTGCAGATTGCAATGAAATAACTAGAATGTTTCACATAATTCGCGGTTGACATTTATTGAGAATCGTTCGTTATTTGACACGTAAAATACAATATTTTTCGTCGGGGATCGATGAAAATGAAACACACATCATTTTACTGGACTTGTTTGTAGATTGCATGAATGTCTACCGAACACATCTACAGTACCTTAGCAGGCACAAATCCTGCTATCGCCACCAACGGCAAAACGAGGATGGTATGCCATACGGACAAATCACATAATGAAGATTGAGAACTTCATTTGCAGGTGAAGTACAGTTATTGTTACCGAATATCACGTGTCACTTTGCGGCCAACCTAAACGCCAATCTATTAATTGAACGTACAAATTGTTTATGGCAGTTTTGCTTTATTTAATTTTCATAGTTGTGGATTTTATTTTTTATTTACAATTTTCCTGAATCAAATAAAAAACAACAGCAATGTATGTGATCGTGAAATGCCTCTTGAATACACAAAATACCTAAATGTTGATTCTTTGTGAATGACTTTTTTTTTTCAAATTTTCTGAGCACAGTGGGAGCCAGTACCGTATGGGCTAAAGGGAGCCATCATTGACTTTTGCTCAGCCGCTGTTTACAAACACGAAATTATTGGCACGCTTGAAGTTCTGTTCCTGTATTTTAACACAAGCAATTGACACGGGAAAAATATTTTAAAAAAGTATGTTGTATTTGATAATTATTTGCTTCTACAGCCAAAAACAAATCATTGCAACGATAATGTATTACTTATTACGACAGTCAGAGTAATTGTCAGTGTGTTCCTATATTTATACACAACACAACACAACACAAAATTAAGAAGAGGTGTAAAGTGAAATTCATAAGATTGTCAAATGGAATGTTTTAGTATCTAAGCGATTCACGTTAATTACTGTAATGCATACATTCAAGACATTGCCGGTGTGTTGAATGTATGCATTGCAGTGTACAGATGTAAACACGTTAATCTGTATCGAGAACATGATATATTAACTAATACGCTTCCTCGTACATTACGAGGTTTCTTTGGTAGTTTCCTGTGTTTTTTCTATTTATAGCTCCGTTTTTTGATTCACGACAGCTAAAATATATTATTGTATATGGTACGTATGCGTTATGTACTGTAAAGATATAGTTATATGCGATATGGGAAATCGTAATAAGAACAACTGAGATATCCGCGTTTTTATAATGTTTTAGCTGCGGTAATATTTTGTGACATTCAATCCACACACAATATCATCTGACCTCGTGTTATATTTTGCACCGAGATCACATATTGAAAAAATATGCTTCGTATATTGAAAAGTATGCATCGTATATTGAAAAGTATGCATCGTATATTGAAAAGTATGCATCGTATATTGAAAAGTATGCATCGTATATTGAAAAGCATGCATCGTATATTGAAAAGTATGCTTCGTATAGTGACAAGTATACATCGTATATTGAAAAATATGCTTCGTATATTGAAAAGTATACATCGTATATTGAAAAATATGCCGCGGCTTCGTATATTGAAAAGTATACATCGTATATTGAAAAGTATGCTTTGTATATTGAAAAGTATGCATCGTATATTGAAAAGTATGCTTCGTATATTGAAAAGTATACATCGTATATTGAAAAGTATACATCGTATATTGAGAAATATGCTTCG